CCCATCCAGACCCGGGAATTATGTGCTGCCTACCTCGATTCCCCCCGCTGCTCCAATTAGATGCCAAGGAAGGTTTTATGCCCAGTCCAAAACAGGGACAGAGCTGCCCCGTGCAGCGGCTGGCTTTTACCTGGGGGCCATCGCCCAGGAAGCTCTCTGGGAACACGCAATTGCTGACCCTACGTTGGTGAAACGTCTTATTTAGTTATGTCATTTGGGGTGATTGGGGGTAATTGAAGAGACAGTGGCAACTATTTTGCCCCCAAATCCTTATTAATCACCTCTGTAGCGATGGCAGGCCAGTCCCGCAGGGCAAAGCCGAGAGCCCTGCAGAGGGTGGCGGCTGGTGGCACTGTCCCCCACACCCCAGTGGGTTTAGCAGCCCTGGGGGCCACCACAGAGTCCCCTCTGCTCACGCCGTCTTCCCTCGTCCCCACCTCGTTCTCTGTCTTAGCATTATTCCCACTGGTTACACAGCCACCAAAGAGTTGGAATGGACGTCTTTAGAAGTCTAGAAGATTCCAGAAGATCTGGAAAGGAGAGGATAAGCGGCCCTGGCCAGGAGAAGAGAATCTGTTCCAACTTTCTTCCACATTAAGTAGTTGTCACTTCGAGCACTTCAAAATAATGTGCAAGGGCAGGCTCTGGGGCCAGTGGGGCCAGTTTCTGGGAGGGAGGGAGGGTGTGCTGTGAGCGCCCAGAGGACCCCTGTGCTGTGGGCGTGGGGGGGGGGGGGGGGGGGGCTGCCGGCCAGCCAGGAAGGACGCTCCGCACCAAGGCAGATGCTGAGATGTTGATTTCTCAAGGCGGGACCGTCTCCAGTACTCCGATCAGGCAGGCTGTCTGGGAGGAAGGGCTTCCGAAGAGTCCTGTGCACACGAGGAAGGAACAGCTGGCCTTGAGCAAGGGGCAGCACTGGAGGCTGGGTCGGGCTTAAGCCAAAGCTTGGGTTCAGGAGCAGGTTGATCAGGTGAAAGGGCAGACAGCTGAGGGCCTGGCAAAGACGCTAAAGGGAAGAGAGGAACATCCAGATGTGCATCTACAATGTAATGGGACGCCGAATATAATACCCCAAGGGAGCGGGGTGGCATTGTCAGAAAGACCGAAGGCTACTTGGTTTGATAGTGACTTTGAAACAGTCTTAAGTTTTAAACAAAAGAAGATGTCAGCCTCCACAGTCCTATGCTTTTCTTCTCGGCAGCCAACCAAACATGCTGGCAGCTGCTCTGTTTTGAGCCAGCGCGTGATTAAGTGACTTTTTTTTTTTTTTTTTTGAGACAGAGTCTCACTCTGTTGCCCAGGCTAGAGTGCCATGGCGTCAGCCTAGCTCACAGCAACCTCAATCTCCTGGGCTCAAGCGATCCTCCTGCCTCAGCCTCCCGAGTAGCTGGGACTACAGGCATGCGCCACCATGCCCGGATAATTTTTTTCTATATATATTAGTTGGCCAATTAATTTCTTTCCCTTTTTAGTAGAAATGGGGTTTCACTCTTGCTCAGGCTGGTTTTGAACTCCTGACCTTGAGCAATCCGCCCGCCTCGGCCTCCCAGAGTGCGAGGATTACAGGCGTGAGCCACCACACCCGGCTTAAATTACTTTTAAATTGGGTTTTACCCCTGTGAGTTGCCGACCTGCCTCAGGTGAGTTTATGGAGCGGCTGCTGCTGTGGGGTTTCCTCTTTTCACCCTCCGCTGCGCACATTCGGTCCCTCGTGGTCACAGGTCAGCTGCCACCGGCCAGGGGACTGCGGCTGTCTGCTGTGGGAAGGGCAGAGGCTCACGTGCCTCTGAGAGGAAGCCACAGAAGAAATAAGGTCTTGGGACGGGAGTAGCTCGAAACTTGACGTCGTTGGTTTACGTTTTTTTTTTTTTTTTTGCAGATCTTTTGAGATCCGTGTCCGTGGGTTCACCTTCCAAAGACAACTGGAAACTTTCATTTTCGACTCTGCTGCCAGCATGGGCAGTGCCCGGCGTTTCCACCAGATGCGGTCAGGGAAGCCAGCTTCCCAGCTCCTCCTGGAGAGTCCCTCCACGGGGGCCGCCCCGCGGGTCTGTGTCGCCAGGGCTCAGCGCGTCTGGGCAGGCAGGGGTCATGCTGGGGACGGAGCTGGCCGAGTGCGCGGTGGCAGCCTCAAGTCACTACGATCATTAGATTCATTCCCACTGGGTGTGGGGCGCGGTGTGGGACGCAGAGGCGCACGCAGAAAGGAAGGTGCCTGCCCCTGGTGTCCTTGCAGCAACCTCACTGGAAGGGCAGGCCGGGGACGGGAGGGCGCCCATGCCGAGCGCTGAGCGCCCAGGAGCAGAGCCAGTGCTAGGAAGCCGTCGAGCATTTCAGAGGAGGGAGCAGGCACCGAGGGTGGAATGCGTGGAGAAAGAGGAGTGGAAGAGGAGGGATGGGACCCGGTTTTGAGGAATGGGTCCCGTCTGAACAGGTAGGGAAGGGAGAGGAAGACGCTGTGGCCAGGCTGGGGTGGGAATGCTACCGCCACGACATGCGGGTCTCGAGGAAGAAGTTGGGACAGTGTCGTGGGGAGGGGGCAGTGGTTCTCTGAGGCCTTGGAAATCCCTGGCTCCCTCTCAGTCCGACCCGCGGTGGGGAGCGTGTAGGGGAGGTCTCAGGTTGGGCAGTTTGCCCTGGAAGCCCCTGCAGGGCCTTCAGCAGGTTCCGGCAGGTGACTGCTTTGAGTGTGGCACCACGTGGCACAGTTTGGAGTCGGGAGGTTGCTGTCCAGGAGACCCGTTACGAGGCCTGTGGGGCCACAATTCCAATGTCAGCTGCAGCGCCCCAGCCCGGCCAGTCACCATGGACGTGACCATCGCAGAGGACTGGCTCTGTGTCTCTCCAGCCACGCCGGGCAAGTATCTGGGCTTTTTGGCTCTAGGCTGAGCTCCTCTCCTCCAGCTTCTGTTCTCTGCCTCTCAACTCCCTTTCTAGCCTCCCCCAGGCCCTGGGCTTTGTTTCCCCTGTGGGCTCCTCGGCGGCCCCCTGGCATCTGTTTCCTCTCTCCAGGCCTGGAGGCCCAGAGCCTGATGCCAGTCCGTGAACCTTAATGAGGAGTTTCTGGGGCTTTAACATTTTTTTTCTCTTCTTTTGAACCCACCATAAATCAGAAATTTAAAAGAGATTAAAAATACGCCAGGGTGAATAATGTGATGGAAATTTGAATACTAGTGGCAATTATGAAAAAAAAAATCAAGTCTGCTGATTATAAACTATTTCACCCCTTCCTTCACATTGAGGAATTTACTTTCTGATATGTATTCTTGAAAATTGACCAGATCTATTACTACGTACACCCGTTTTTGTTTTTTGTTTTTTTCCTTTTTTTTTATTTTGGCATATTATGGGGGTACAGTTTTTAAGGTTTCAATAAATGCCCATTTTCCCCCCTCCCCCCACAAGTATGAGTCTCCATCATGACCATCCCCCAGATGGTGCACATCTCACTCATTATGTATGTATATACCCGCCTCCCCTCCCCCCTCCCACCTGCCCAACACCCTATTACTGCAGTACCTATGTGACCACTTAGGTGCTGTTCAGTTAATACCAATTTGCTGGTGAATATATGTGGTGCTTGTTTTTCCATTCTTGGGAAACTTCACTTAATAGTACGTACACCCGTTTTTGAATTTTAATTTTTAAATGCAATATTGTTTGGCTTCCATTGTGTTTATTTTTATAATGAGACTCCACATAGTGGGTGCTTTTGATTTCCAATTTTTTTGTAATGATAGGAAGTTTCCTTTTGAAGTATTAATTTAAACTAAAATTTAGTCAACTTAGAGCAAATTATCAAGTAAGAGTACTTGGTACAAAGCATATGGGTATGCCAAAATTGTGATATACTTAAATGACTGAAGTCTATGAAATGTGGCTCTACAGTAAGTAGGACATGCCTTCTGCACCGACGGCGATTGAAGAGGGGGAACACTGACTTGCCTTCCACTCCACCGATAAGCAGGTACTAAAAATAATAATAATAAAAAAAATAAATGTGTGATAACTCCCGTTGGAGCTATGTGCCTCACCATCTGTATACTCTGCAAGCAACTTAAAGACAGGGCCTAGATCTTACTGACGTTTGTGTCTAACATATAATTATCTCACAGGAGGCCTGTGTATACCAACACCTAATACATGTTTGCTAAAGGAATGAACCATGAAGAGCATCTCTAGAAAGTTTAACTGTTTATTCTAGAACTATCCTGCTACAACTACGTAACCATTGCCAATTTGTCCAACTTGTTAGAAGTTTCAGAAGAGTGACACAACTTAAGGCGTGTTCTGCAGGCTTGTGGAGTTGGAATTCCCGTGTTCTAGCTTGCTGCAGCAGACGCGAGGAATCATCGTGAATGGAGGGCAAAACTGGAGCTGCCTCGAGGATCCAGCCTGGCCCATACCTACGTATCTAACGTTTTCTTTCTTCTCGCGGAAGAAAAGGATTCTTGGAAAAGAGACAGGTGGCTGGTTCTTAGTAACTACTGGAAAACGTATCACCCCGAGGCCTGGATGAGAGCCATCATTTCCAGTGGAAACACTGACTCTCCGCGCCGTGGCCCATTGTAAAGTCTAGCGAAACGTGCATAAAAATCTTGCATCTGGTTTGAGATTTATCTTTGCTACCAAGTCGGTCTGTCTGCATTTTTTACTGCATTCTGGGATGGTTGTTCATCCAGGGGCGAGGGGCTACCTTATGGGAGAGCTGAAGGGAAAAGAATATTTGGAAGAAACATAAAGCAATCCTATCAAAATGGCTTTTTTTTAAAAAAATTCTTTCCTAAAAACAAGCACCACATGTACCCACCAGCAAATCGGTATTAACGGATCAACACCTAAGCAAACATATAGGAATAACATCTATTGGGTGTGGGGGAGGGCGGAGGAGGGGATGGGTAGATACAAACACAATGAGTGAGATATGCAACGTCTGGGGGATGGTCATGCTTGAAGCTCTGACTCGAGGGGGAGGACGGGGCATGGGCAATATACGTAACCTTAACATTTGTACCCCCATAATATGCTGAAATAAAAAAATAAAAAAAATTCTTTCCTAAACAATTGGCAAAAGATAGGGTGAATCTGAGCTGATTGTGATGACTTTCAGGTAGTAGTAGTTTCTTTGGACAGCAGTGCCTTGCCCTTCCCCCAGTGCAATTCGTTAAATTGGGTAAATTGGGCGTTAGTGTTGTGGGAGTGGCTTGGAAATGAGGGGTGGTCCCAGAACAGCATGGCAGAACCCGTGGCACTTGCTGCTGCCACTTTGTTAAAGGCATGGTTTGCTGTTTCCCACTGTCCCCTGTGCTGTGCTTGGGTGTGGCAGCCAAATGCAAGAACATTTCCTAGCTCTGGTAATGACTGCTGCAATCAGTTGGGAAAATGCATGTAGTTCTCAGATTTGAATAACGGTAGAGTGTACGTGTTAAAGCCTGGCTCGGTTGTGAGGCTGAGGAGGGTCTGTTGGGAATAACCAGCCCAAATGCCAAGGGAGATGCCATGCACTCCTCTCTGTCAGCTTCACCCAGGAAGCTGACTCGGGGCTGCTGTGCGGGGAGTTCCTAGCCTGGGCTGGGAACGGCAACCTGGGAAGCACTGCTTGGAAGGGCCAGCTGTGCAGTGAGGTCTCGGTGAGGTCCCCAGCTGCGTCAGCTGCCCGCTCTTCCTGCAGACAGCAAATTCAGGGATTCGGAACTCGGGGACTCCCAGGAGTGAGTGCAGTGTGAGTATTCAGGGATATTTCCCTGTCGTCAAAAAGCCCTGCATCTTTTCTTCTCTTCCTCCTTTTTCTCTTTGTCCTCTTTCGTCTCTTTTTCTTCCTCCTCCTTCTTCAAATATATTTTGGATTTCTTTATTTTATGCGTCCAGCGTTAAATTCCTAGATTACTGCTCTATTGCTGCTGCAGCAATGACCAGGAACACGGTGGCTCAATGCAAGGCTTATCATCATCCCGCAGCTCACCAGTCTGACCTGGGTCTCACCGGAAGAAAACCAAGACGTCCGCTGGGCTGTTCCGGGAACTCTGGGAGAGAACCCACTGGCTTGGTTTTCGAGCTTCCGGAGGCCGTCACGTTCCTTGCTTGGCCTGTGCCTCTCTCCCTCCACCTCCACCCTCCTCTTCCTCCACCTCCAAAGCTGGCGACGTGGCGTCTCCCTGTGCCTCCCTCCCTGGGTCGCATCTCCGCTGCTTCTCCCACTCTTCACGGCCCTCGTGGTGACCTTGGGCCTGCCCGTCCAGGTCGCGGCCCCGGTTTCAAGGTCAGTTGGTTGGCGCCTTGATGCCACCTGCAGCCGCAATTCTGCTTTGCCACGTAACGTATTCACAGGTTCCAGGGCTTAGGGCGTGGACATCCGTGGAGGGACCACGAATCCTGAAGTAGGATAAACACAATTCGGACTTATGATCTGAATTGAACAGTAATCTAGGAATTTAACGCTGGAAGCATAAAATAAAGAGATCCAAATTTTTTTTTTTTTAAGTTTTCAGTGCCATGTCTTGTTCATATTTATTTAATATATCCTTAAGTATTTATTGTTTTTGAACATTGTTTTGTTGTTAGGTTGTAGAAATATAATTGGCTTTAAAATATTGATCATATAACCTGCATCCTCCTAAATTTACTTATGATTCCTCATAATTTTTTAATAGATTCCCTAGAACTTTTCTCTATATCTTATTATATCATCTGCGAATCATAAGAGTTTTACTTTTTCCTTTCTGATCTGTGGGCCTTTTATTTCTCTTTCTTGCCCTATTTAACTGGCTAGGACCTCCAGTTCAATGTGAGTAGAGGCACTGGAAGTGGAAATTCTTGCCGTTTCTGATCTTGGGAGGGAAGCACACAGCCTTTCATCGTTAACTATGATGCTAGCTGCAGGTTTTTCAAAGATGCCATTTTTGGGTTGAGGAAATTCTTTTCTGTTTCCTATTTTCTGAGAGTTTTTTTTTTTTTTTTTTTTTTTTTAGAAAATCATAAATGCGATTGAATTTTGACAGACGATTTTTCAGCTTCTGTTAGGATGGTTGTATGGTTTCTCTTCCCTTTAATTTTTCTGTTAACATGATGAATTAAATTGACAGGCTTTGTAGATTATTTCTCTGAACCTAGGGTCAGAGCCGTGCCTACTGCTATTTTAAATGGAAAATGACATCTCCAACTTGAGCTAAGTTTTATTTTTTTGTGTGTTATATTATTTCTTAAGCAGCTGTATCTTAATATTTCAGAGCATCAAAACTGGCTGGATTGCATCCCAGTTCTACCCTGTACTAGCGATGGGACCACAGGTAAGTTACTTAACCTTTCTAAGCCTCCATATTTTCATATCTATCTTGTATGATTTTTGTGAGAATTAAGTGGGGTAGTGCTTGTACAGAGCCTAGAACACTGCCTGGCACATGAAAGCTAACATTTATTGAGTGCTCAGTATGTTCCCGACACTATGCTGAGCCTTTCATATGTGTCATTTCATCTGTACGTATTGGACTGTAGGTATATAGGCGTAGGTACTATTATTCGCTTTTCCACAGATAGGAACCAAGGCACAGAGACATTCTGTAACTTGCCTAAGGTCCACAGCTGACAAGGGGCAGAAGAGGGAATAAACCGCAACAAACTGGATCCAGAGTCCATCTTGTAACCCCAACACATGGTCTCCCTGTGCTACACTACATACCACATATGTATTGCCTGCCTCAATAAGTAACAGTACTGCACTCTGGGAGGCCGAGGCAGGCGGATTGCTCAAGGTCAGAATTTCGAAACCAGCCTGAGCAAGACCCCGTCTCTACCAAAAATAGAAAGAAATTAATTGACCAACTAAAAATATATATACAAAAAATTAGCTGGGCATGGTGGCGCATGCCTGTAGTCCCAGCTACTCGGGAGGCTGAGGCAGAAGGATTGCTTGAGCCCAGGAGTTTGAGGTTGCTGTGAGCTAGGCTGATGCCACGGCACTCACTCTAGCCTGGGCAAGAAAGTGAGACTCTGTCTCAAAAAACAAACAAACAAACAAACAAAAAAACCATTACTGTTGTGGGTACTTTGTTGTTATCCACAATGTAGACATTTTGATATTTTATACTGCTTCCTTATAGGTTTTGGAGTATAGGGAAATATTTTTGCCAAAACTCTATAAATGGTGCTTTAAGTTCTGAAAAGACCAGAACAATAGTCTTTAAATCATCCTAACACTACTTTACCTTTTTATGGAAAGGGCTGGGCTACAAAAGAGGGTACACAAATTGTCCTATGTCTGAAGCTTGATTAACTCAGGAATTCATGAAGTATTTTTGAGGAAACTACATCCATTCAGCTGTTCACAAAATCTGCAAAATTCCTCTGTGCTCAGAAAAGATATTTTAAAAAGTATATATTTAGAGAACTAATGATCATTTTAAAATATCAGCATTAGGATAACATAGCCTTTGAAGTAAGATTTAAAGAAGTTTCATTGCTTAAGCAAAGATATAGGTCTTTCAACTAACTTGAAATAATTCTCACTATTTTGTTATATTATGTGATGTGTGTTACGTACAATGACTTCTTCCTACCTGTCACAGGCCCTCCTAATGGTGCAAAGGGCGGGCTCGTGTGCCAGCGAGCCGGGCCCGGAATCCCCCGGGCTCGGACCCGCATGTGTCCAGATGGGGCCAGGCGCTTGGCTGCTCCCGGGCAGAAATGTGATTGGATGTGGTAGTTTCCGATGAGTTAAAGTGTTTAACCTGTGCTTGAGGAGAACCAGTTTAGAATTTATGCATAGCGCCGTGTCTTTTCTGTCCTCCTTCCACCACTGCCCCCCGCGACGCCTTTGCTTGGATTCGTTTATGTTTAGGTCTCTGTGGATGGACCTCGGTGGAAAGTCCTTATTCCTGGGAACTTTTCTTTCTCCCCCTCTCGTGTCCACACCTCACTCTGCTGTATTTCCACATGCGAGAATGACCTGGATCCCCCAGGCTTCCTTGGCCATCGTCGTCACACTGAGATTTCCCAGTGTTGGTGGAGGTTTTGCGTAGTAATTCCTCGGTGCTCAGAATATGGGAGCTGCAGTGTGTGTGTGGCTTCAACCGGCTTGCTTCCCACCGAGTGTTTCTCATTCATTCGTCAATTATTTATAAAACTGTATGAGATGTTTGTTTTCTTTTGTCGTGCCCTGCGCTTACTTATTTTACTGCATTTATTGTATTGTACCACGTCTTTCCCACTGTTTCAGGCCCCCGAGGGTAAGAACAATATGGGCTTTGCGTTGTGTTATGGCCCCTTGCAGATTCATGACACCAACTAGGTACTCAATACTTTTTTATTCCTTTCTCTGAATTCAGTAATAATGCTAAACCTATTTCTAAACTTAAGTTCTCATGGTTTTGTTTATTAATTTATTCAGTTTCTTCTTCAGTATAAAAATTTTAAGCCATGCAGAAAAGTATAGTAAATAATGCAACACTTGGGTAACTATTAATAATACTAAGAGTAAGTATTGATCAAACACAGGGCATCTTCCAACAAGCTTTGTTAAGTGTAAAGTGTTTTATTTTTCCATTATACTTTTGTCTATATTTTATAATTCCTGCAATTTTATTTAGAGAAAACATTATAGCTGTAGTTGAAGATCCTGTGTATTCCTCCCTAATCCCATTTCTCTCCCTCCTCCAAAGAAACAACCATCTGAATTTATCGCTTAGTATTCCTGCATGGGCTTCTAGGTTTCTAGTCCTTCTGAATGTATTTTTAAACAATACCTAGTATTGTTTTGCATATTTGTAAATGGTGTGATAGTCTCTGTATACTTCTGCAACTTGATTTTCCCAACTGATGTTATGTTTGAAATTAGTCCATGTTGATAGATGTTGCTCTAGCTAGGTCATTCATTTTAATTGCAGAATGGCATTCCATTGTGTGAGCAAACCCACAACGTATTAATCAGGGCTGCTGGTGATGGGCATTTAGATGGTCTCCAGTATGTTTGCTATTACAAACAGTGTAGCAATTAACATTCTTGTACGTGCCCCCATTTGCACATATGTACGTGCAATTACTGGGTCAAAAGGGTACGTACATCTTCAGTTCTGTTAGTTATTGCAAAAATGCTGGGGTTTTTTGAAAAAATAATCAAATCTGATAATTTTCATCTTTTAACTGTAGAGTCCATTTTTAGTCTATTACAATTCCTCATATATTTGGTTTAATCTCTGGCACCTTTTGTTACACTTCTTATTTATTCTTACTTTTCTATGTTCTCCCTCCTCCCTTTTTTCTGCTTCTGTCATTTTATCACTATCTCTACTTTCTATTTGCTTGGAGATTACACTTGCATTACATTTCTATTCTTCTAGTAGTTATACTTAAATTTTAAAGATGTGCACTTAAAATAATGAAGTCTAAAGTTAGTTAGTAGCTGTGTTATCTTCCTAAACAATCAGAGACTCTACAACACATCAACTCTAATGAGCCATATCTGGCTTTTGTGTCATTTTAGTTCTCAACTTGATTTTTTTTTCTCCATACCAAATAGTGGTAAATTAGATTTAACCACAAATTTGACCATATTTTGCTCACCATTTCTTCTTGAATCTTAGTGTTTCCTTCTGGTTTCAGTTTTCTTTTTCATAATGTATTCTTAAGTACGTTTTTCAGTTGTGGTCTTTTAGTGGTGAAATGGTTAGATTTTTGTCTAAGACTGTCTCACTCAGTCCTTATTCTTTAAAAACATTTTTTTATTTTTAATTATTATGGGTACATAATAGTTGTATCAGCTCTTATTCTTAAATACTCACTTAGCTGGGCACAGAATTCTAGGTTGTAGTTCCTTCTCTCAGGAATCAATGATACTTTTCTGTTGTTTTGTGTCTTTTTCTTCTCCTGTCCGTAATGTTGGCTGCTGTTTGTTTGTAGATAATAGTCTGTTTTCTCTTTTATTACTTCTAAGATCACCTCGTTGTCTTTGATGCTCTATCTTTGTGCATTATGCTAAGTCTAGAGGGGACCGTATGTATCCTGCTTTGGATCTTCCATGATTTCTCAAACTGAGGGTTGTTTTTTTTTTTTTTTAATGCTGGGAACATTTTAATCATACAGTTCCATTTGAATTTTGACATTCTTGTTCTAATCTCTACTCTGGGAAGTCTTACTGGCAAACATTGGACTTTGTAGCCACAGCCTCGCTTTATGTCCCTTTCAGGTTGTTCTCATTAAACATCAACAGATGCAAAAAGATATGAAGAATAGAAGTAATGCACACCCAGGCAACCAGCACCCAGCGTAAGATCTAAGGACTAGCACTGTCTTTGCAAGGCCTCCCGCGCCTCTCCTTCCCCTCCCCCGCTCCTTCCCCTCCCCCTGCCAGGCACCTGTCATCTGCAGTGTGGGGAACATCCTGGCACTTTTCCTTATGGTATTACCACGAATATTTGTATCCTTAACAGAGTATTGCTTAGTTTTTCAAGGTTTTGAACACTTTATAGATGGAATAATACTTTATGGATTCTATGACTTGCTTTTTTAATGCCCAACATTAACTTTCATCCATAATGTTAATTATTCAACTGTAAGTTTTTTTGGTGTTTTCTCAATGGCAATCATTTCATAGATAAATTTCAGTGTTGTTTCTTTGTCTCCAATCCTCTTACTTTTTCCTTCTGCTCACTGGGAACTCAGAGCAGTGAACAGAAGTAGCAATAGCAGTGGTTCCTGCTCCTCAGTCGAAGTGGTACCTGTGTGAAGCTTCTCTATATCCATGATGTATTCTGTAGGTTTTTGAAAAATGTGTAGACTCTGTCAGTATATCTTTTCTCCTGCTAGTCCTGCTAGTTTGTTGTGTGCCTTTTAAAAAAATTCACGTATACACATTTTGGATTTTAATCAAATGCTTTTTTCTAACCTAATTCTTTTTCAGTTGATTCTATGAAATTTTTCCTTTAATCTGTTAGAATATGGTAAGCAGTAGTAACTGATTTTTTAATGTTAAAACAGCACTTGCCTCTTGGAATTACTCAATGTAGGCATGAATTATTTTGACTCATAAATTATTTTAAAACACATTTCTTAATTTCTAAACAACTGCATTATATGTAGTTATCTTTTCTATTATTGATTTTTACCTTAATTTCATTGTGGTCAGAGAAAATGGTCTGGATAAAATCAACCTTCCAAACGTTGTTGAGATTTGCTTTTTGGCCCAGTGTGTGGTAAGAATCAGAAAGAATCCACGAGTACTTAAGAAGACAATGTGTTCTTTCCTTGTTGGAGCATGCTTGTTAAATGTTCTGCCTGAATCTATGTAGACTTACCG